GATTTTAATCGAACATGTGGACTTACATGTGAAATATTATGTATTAAATTAAAAGCTATCAATTTTGGTTAAGCTTGTTTAAAGTGATCCAATAAACTTTCAGTATTTTGGGTTTTGAAGCATCCAATTAAAATGTAGGCATTTATGTGTAGAGACCAAGCATGTTCCTAATTTCATGATGGGCCGAATTAGGTTAATGGGTTGTTAGTCTACATATACGGTTATAGTCCTCATATCACACGTGAATTGTTCATTTTGTTCTGACTTGCATCTTCAGAGAGAAACAAAGGAATAGCGTGTTGATCATAAAGACTAAAATCGCATGATTCATTCATTGCATTAATCATGTCTGATTCAGATACGCTTCCGCTTCGACTCGCAAATTCTTGATAATCCAACATGAACAATCAATATGACGGTAAAAGAATTTTCCCAACATAACATTACTCTATAATTAAATTTATGTGACTAACATTACGTTGCTCCACTTCGTTTCAACTCTCATGCCCAACATGAAAACTTGTCTGGTTGCTTGTTGTGACCAGTAATTCATCCACCGTGATTTGAGTAAGTAGTCACATTACTTTTTTGACCCGCTTCGCTCGAGACCTAATTATAGGCCATTCCTCAACGATCAATGGATCCTTACCTGGTCTTTCCTTCGTATCCTGGATCACATCATCCCTTCCATGTTCAAAAGGATTCGAACTCAAATCTGTACCTGTATCATAGAAAGAAAAATTAGAGACATTAAAAGTAGCCAAAATGTTATACTCAACTGGAAGATCTAATTTGTAGGCATTGTCACTGATCTTTTCAAGAACTTGGAATGGTCTATCGTCCCTTGATTGCAACTTTGACTTTCTTTGATTTGAAAAGTGCTATTTTCTCAAGTGTGTCCAAACCTAATCTCCTGGTTCAAATGTAATGCACTTTCGTCCATTATTTGCTTAAGAAGCATGATGCTCATTTTTCTTCTCAATTTGCAATCTTACCTATTCGTGGAGTGATTTCACCAAATCGGCATTCTTCTTTCTATCTAAGCTATCTCTTTCATTCACAGGTAAATGAATTAAATCTAAAAGTGTTAGTGGATTAAAATTCATATATAATTTCAAAATGTGTGTAAGAAGTAGTAAAATGTGTAGCCCTATTATATTCAAATTCTATAAAATGCGAGCAATCCTCCCAATTCTTTTAATTTTTATTAACTATAGTGCGTAACAATTATATTATTATCCTATTAACTACCTCAGTTTGCCCATCCATTTGTGGGTGACAAGTAGTAAAAAACAATAGCTTGGTTCCTAACTTATTACACAAAATCCTCCAAAAGTGACTAACTGATTTAACATTTCTATCTGATACAATGCTTCTTGGAATCTCATGTAAGCGCACTACTTTCTTAAAGAATAAATCTAAAATATTGGTGATATCATCAATTTTATGATATGGAATAAAATGTGACATCTTACTAAATCTATCTACCACCACAAATATAAAAATCTTTTCATTTCTTAATCCTAGGTAAACCTAATACAAAACCTATAAACACATCAACCCACGGTTAACTAGGAACAAGTAATGACATGTATAAACCTAGAGGTAAAAACTTAAATTTAGCCTTTTTTCAAGTGATGCATCTATTACAAATCTGATCAACATCAACTTTCATCTTAGGCCAATAAAAATGTTCATCTAACATCTCTAAGGTCTTCTTAATCTCAAAATGACTCATTAGACCTCCACTATGTGCTTCACGTATTAATAATTCTCTCATTGAACATTTAGATCAATGTTTCATCTATCGTGGTTTAAGCAGGTGGTCTCATTACTTCTTTGATCCTCTTCACTCGCAACCTAGTCATAGACCATTTCTCAATGAACAATGGATCATTGCCCTCGTTTCCTGGATCACATCAATAGATCAAGTCGAGTTTAAACTAACACTACATATGCCTTACTTCATAAGTATTTTGTTATATTTTGTGTAGCTTAGTTGATTTATAATAAAATCAAATATCTATTATTTTGTTTATATTATGATAACTATTTTGATTTTTGTAATTACTTTGTCATATGTAAATATATTTCAGGTATCTCAAATCTATTGATGTATTTTTGAAATCGAGGATCTAGTTAATAATTTTTTGTTGATTTATTTAAACATGTTAAAAGGGTATTTTTAAGTATTATATTATTATTGTCCAAAGAGTCAGCGATATTCTAACAATTATCAATATTATTTATGCTAAAATGCAAAAGAAAAGTGGTCATAGAAGTATGATTTACTCAAAAATTGAAATAACGGTGTAATTTTCAAAAATCTTAGGGGATATGCACTATTCAAAACTTAATATAAGGAAGGTCTATATAATTTTTTGACAAGACACAAAAAAATGTCATTAGAATTCTCATAAATAGTAGAAAATTATTCAAAACTTAAAATAAGGAAAATTTGTTTCATTTTTAAAAGATAAGGAACATATCTAACATTTTTATAAACGTAAATAGAGGACTCGATAGTTTGCCCTTAAGATCTTAATTATCGTACATCAATTACAGTTTTTTTTTTACTCTTGTAGACTATGGTAGACCATTTGTCGACACGATAGTTTTGAATGGTTAATTACACAATACCACATGAATTTTTATAATAGATTTTGTGAAAACATTTTTTTTTTTTTGGGAACATGTGATTAAAAATGAAAAATTTATGAATATACATGCAAAATTATTTTATTGAAAAGAGGTATAATTGAAAATAATTTTGAAAACAAAAATTTAAAAGAATCTCTATCAAATATAGACTAAATGTGGAATGATGCACTAAATGAAAGTTTTAAATAACTCAAGAGATGCTGAAAAGGCCCAAACCACACAATATTAAA